CCCATCAAATTATTATTTTTTGTTTCAAACATTTCAATTAATATGTTATTGTTTAATTCATTACTATTACTTATTAAATATATGCAATTTGCTTACACATTTTTGTTTTTTTTTTGTTACATGTGTAGATGTCAGACAAAAGAAAAACTAAGCTTATTTTAAAAAGTCGTTTGATGAAGCATCAATTGAATCAATTACCAAGAAATAACATGGTTGGACCACAAGTTGCACATCCATTAGTTGGAACTATTGCAGAACATGTTAGTTCTACCCCTTCAGTACAAAATAAGTCTATTGAAATCCCTTCTGTTGGACCACACATTGGTCGTACTCCACCACTTGGAGGAAGTTCTAAATCTCTTCCATTAACTTCTCCACCATTAGGACCACAATCACCACATGAGACACCTTCCCCACAAAGTCTTCAAGCATCTAACCCTCAAACTCAAGGCACATTTGTTTCTCATGATGATCACAATGTATCAGATGTTCAGAGCACCTGTGAGAAACCCATTTTAACACTTGATGGATATGGGTAAATCACTTAAATTTTAACAATGTTATAGTTTGTTCATATTCTATGTACAACTTGTACTTTATGACTTTATTTTTGTTGTAGATTTTTGCCTTCATACTTTCCATTGGTGATATTTTCAAAAGTCATTACAATGATGTATGACCATCATGGAAAAAGGTACCTCAAGATATTCGAGACATGTGGTTTAGTGAGTTCATGATAAATATATTTATATATTTACACGAATATATATATTTATTTATATATAAATATAATTTATTTGTAAGTTATTACCAAAAAATTTTAGTAGTTTAGTGGTGTAAGAATCAGTTTCACATTTTAAAGTATATATATATATATATATATATATATATATATATATATATATATAGATAGATAGATAGATAGGGAGAGATAGATAGATCATCGTGAATACCAACACAAACACAGCCATTGACCACTGCATACACATGCGCGCGATACTTTGTCGTATTTACCAGATATTCTATCATATCTGACATTAGTGAGACAATATCCTCAACATTCGCCCACCAACATAATAATTTTATCAGGTGTTTATATTTAAGAATATAGAAATCTAACATTAGTTTCATGGTTATTAACAAAAGAAAAAGCAAGAAAGAGAGAAAGAAGGGTCAAATTCATCTTCACCACTTTTCTGTAATGGAGTTTTGTCAAACACAGAAAAAGTGATACGAGGATATACAGATACAACTACAGCTGTTGCATGCAACATTGGTTCCGGGAATTTAATTAAGTTTTTAAAGTATAACGAGCTGAGTTGAAGTGATTAGATGAAATATTATATTCAATAATTATGATTACAAATGTTTTGAGTAATTATGAGATGGCACACCATGATCCACTATGGCCTGCAACTTGCCTCTTTAAGGTGCTCCCTTTTCAGGAGTGGTCTCCAAATAATACTATTTATAATGATAAAGGAGTGAAGGACAAACCACTTAACTTTCTAAATTGCTTACTAGGGCTTTAAAGTTTTAGGTAACTAGGGTTTTGGTTCATTCGCCCCCATATAACAATAATTAAATATCAAGCAAATATGTACTCTTTTATTATTCAAGAATCATAATCTTGGTAGACCACCAGTCAAATCTGTAATCCACTACATAATTCTCATCTTATATATTACCCAAGTTTTAAAGTTGGCGAATTAAATGAATAATATTTCATGTCAAAGGTGACCCCAAAGTCATCAAAATCTTCATCATTAATACCATTATAATCTTAATTCAATCTTTTATCCATTTATACAGAGTGAAAAATAATAATTACAAAAATAGTCATAAGTATAATTGTGGAAACAACTTTTTTGATTTTTTTTCCATTATATTCAAGAGTTTCTAATTATTTAGATATTAAAATTAAAGATAATTTATATATATATATTCTTTTTTTTATTCATCCGTCCTTTGTAAGGACAAAATTATAACTATATGGAACAAAATCATAACTATATTCTATCAAAGTTATTATAAGGGATATTAAATCAAGATACTCCTATTTCTCTATAGAAATTTTTTTATTTATAATTAATTAAACATCCTAGAATATTAATTGTTTAAAAAAATCATTCCTTTATATTGAATATGGGAATTTTTTTAATTTAATGTAACTTTCCTAATATTCCTACGGTAAAGTCATTTCAAAAGTTTTGTATTAAAAGCTAGGTGTGTCAATATGGGTTCTAACCTGTGAGCTAACCCGGCTCACCACGGGTTTGAGCCGGTTGAGTTCGATTTTTTTATTTCTACCGATTATGGGTTAAAAATGAACCCGGCTCACTTAACCCACAGGTTAAACGGGTTCGAGCCGGGTTATGATGAGTTGGCCCGCAACCCACCATTAATTTTAATTTTAAAAAATAATTATAATAACATACTAACCTTAATTAATCATTTATTTTAAATTTTTAAAATAATTATAATACTTTAGTAACCCTAATTGATGTTATCATGTTTTACCTCTACCCTACATTATTGGTTGTCGCCACAAGCCAAACCCTCACTTAAACTTGTTATCAGTTGTTCGCTACACCATTACGTTTGTCGCTGCACTTTAGTCACTTGTCTTATTATATCTGTCCATCGCACCACTACACCATATATCCATTGTATTGCTTTCAAAGATAAGAATTTGTTTCATAACCTAAACCATTGTATTGTTTTCAAAGGTACAAATTTGTTTCATAACCAAAAATATGAAACAATACATCAAAGCGTTAATGTAAATTGTATTGGTGATGATTTTATTATTAATGAAAAATTCAATGAGTCAATTTCAGTTAATAACGAAGATACTCGATGTTGAGAAAGAAAGGAAGAAAACATAAGTTTCTACATCCAAAATTTTTATATAATTTAAAAAATTAAAAAAATATGGGTTAGTGAGTCAACCCACCTAACCCACCAACCCGTGGTGGGTTGAGCCGGGTTGTAAAATTTCCGGCTCACCAAAAAATGAGCCGGGTTGAGCTCATCTATTTTCAACTCAACTCGTGGTGAGCCAACCCGTGTGAGCCGGGTTTGCTCACTTTGACACCCCTATTAAAAGCTTAAGTCAGTAATGTAGATTAAATAAATATTTTAGTATGGTTTGTGTGTATTAAAATACTATTGGAACTCAAGGTGCTGCTAGAATATGAGAAGATGCAATTAGGGTTACACAATTTGTGATTTTAATTTGTGAAGCAATGTTATTGATCAAGAGTCTCTATACTAGGGTTTTCCTTTCTATCAACCAAATATTTCTTAATTAAATAAATGTCATAATAATTATACAGTAATTAATTAAATGTAGAAAATAATAAATAAGAAGTTTCATAATAGATGGGATATTTTTTAAAATTCATAAATATTTAAAAATAGATAAACAAATAACTGTTTTCATCTTTAATCTTTCATATATGGAAAAATTAATATTAGCTCTTATGGCTTATTTTACGTAACTAATAGGGAAAGAAAATGGAAAAGTGTATCTTTTATATTTTCAATGTAATAAATGTTTTTGCTCAATGAAAATCCTTTCAGTTTTAATTACACGAAATTAACTATGATAAAATTTATTCTCAATAAATGCTAATGTTAGCAAAAGTCTTTAAAACTGAAAATTATATAAAATTTAAATTATGAAATAATCCCATAATAATTAAAACTAATATGAAGGGATTGGTTGATTGAAAAAAATGTTGGATAATCGATATGTTATTAATTAGATTAGTTATATAATTAATTTGATGCTAATACTAATAAATAACGATTTGAGGATTAGCTGTGTTTATAAACTGTATCAATTTAAATGAATTCATCACATCAACTGAAGAAGACGAAGACCTATCTGCTCAGGAATTTAAATTGCTCAATTAAAGTTTTAATATAGTTTTTGTTCTATTTTAAATAAAAAAATTCCCTTAAAATTTAAATTATATTCATAATTTTTTTTCATCATAATAGATTTAATATGTGCTTTGTTTTTTCAAAATAAAATTTAATCCTATTTCTTTTAACTTTAGTTCAGTTTTCTTTTTCATTAGATTAGAATTATCATAGTTAATTACTACTACACGTACGTAACAATAGTTTTTAATGACTACAATAATATTAAAAATCAAAACCTCACTACAAAGAATTTTAAATCTGGGGTGCTTGATTTTTCTTGTTGAATCTCATCAACCTTAGAATTATTTGAGGGTTTTGTTAGCGTGTATATGTTAATGTTTCGACAAATATAAGTGAAGAATAATATATGTTTCATATTAAAATTAAGTTTATTTTCATGGAATTCATATTTTATTGTAATTGATTCAAGATTAGTGTCATTTCTCTCATCCAAGTAACATATATAAAAATTGTCTTATTTTAATAAATAATAATAAAATAAAATAAATTGGATCATGTTCCATAAAAGAAATTGATTGAAAAATAATTTATCAAGAACATTCTCATATATAAGATACGAATAAATTTATATAAAAAATATAATATCTTTTTTAATTCAAAACTTTAAAACATCAAATTATCCATTTTTCTCACTTATAACTTATTCAATTTATTCATTTTTATCTAATTAAGATTTATTTGGATTTTTAACGATCTCTTTATTAAATGTCATTTTTTTTCACATTAATATATAAAGTAGAAATATTTCTTAATCATATTAATGTAATTAAAAATATAACTGCCATGGATAGTTAATATATAAGCTTAAAAATGAGAAATGAAAGTATATCTTTATTCAAATAGTAACAAGAGCAAAGCAAACAAGCAAATTTGTGATTCAAAATCAAAGGGAAAACTAAGAAACATAAGATGATAACTTAGGACAAACAGAACGAAAACTTGCAAGACTCACTACTATCACAAATTTCCCTTGATCATAGGCAACAGAAAAGATCAGAGAAAATGGGGTTGTGGTAGCGACATGGCAGCATGAACACACATCTTAGTCAATTGGGAGGTGACCATTGTATCTCAATCCCATAATTCCAAGTTTCAAGAGGATCATCAGGAGTGAAACGCACCAAACAAGTGTAGGCAGTGCAACTCCCAACCTTGACTCTGATCCTATGAGAATTCATGGCTGAGTCCTTTAAGTAATGACAACAAAGGGTGCCCATACACCCAGATCCTTCTTCCACCTTTTTCTCAAATTGCCTGCAGATACTATTTGAAGTACAATTGAGTGGAGACTGAAGGATATTGTTAGAGCAATTGAACAGCATTACTGTATTTTGTGCAGATATATTGAAAGGCAAGTTTTCATCAAGCACAAGGCCTCCCATGGAGAGATCAGAAGAATAACAGGTATTTTTTAAAATGAGGGGTGGGCTAATGACAAGCCTATTAGCACTTGGGTCAATTCTAAGGATCTTATAGTAAGTTCCTGTTGCTGAAAGGAACTCCAACTCATCATCATTGCAGTAGATTTGATACCTTTTATCTCCACAATTCTCAGTTGTGCTGAGAGGGTATGGAACAACAGAGTCTCCACAATTCGAACAAGAATTAAGGGTTGATGCATTGATTACAAAACCAAGACTAGTTAGTACAAAAAGTAGAAGAGCTATCATCTTTATTTGAAGAATGGCACCAGAAAGATTTATCTCTTGATTAGAATGTCATCTATTTATACTACCAACTGACACATTTCTCTTTTTGGGCATAAGAGTTTTTTTTCTGTGACCAATGAAGAGAATTATGAGGAAATGGGAAAGCAGAGGCACTATGAGAGAATGGGAGCCACTTGCCTCTTTAAGGTGCTCCCATTTCCTTAAGTGGTCTTCCAATTATTAGCTGATGTTAAGGATATTTAATCAAACCTAAACAATGTTGAACACGCGTCTGTGCCCATGGTTTTATTGTTGCATTATATACTCAACAAATATCAAACATAGTCTTAATATTTTTTTTATGAAGACCACCATTTATGTAATGATGGCTTTCTCTATTTCTCAAATCTCTTAACCACCGTCGGATCTCGCCATTTTTCATGGTTTTTAAAATATATTGCCCTCCACCTTTATAAATATGTTTTCAAATAAATATTCATTTCTTGAAAATCATTTTAGAAACCAAAATTTTTGTATAAATTTTTAAAGAGAAAAATATAGATTCATAATATTCACCTCATTTATCTCTATATATGTTTATATATATATTTTTATTAGTATATTAATTCTATATAATAAAAAGGTACAAAAATAAATATATAAATAATTGGATACAAACATGAAAATTAAAATTAGTATATACAAATAAGAATAATCTTTTAAACGTAAATACAAAAACATGTATTTTTTATTTATTTTTTTAAATTAGATCGAAGCTAATTTTGACATGACATATTAATTTAATTCGTACTGGGTTCACCTTGAATTAACAGTTAGACTAATTTCAAATTATTTTATAAAATAATTATTTTTTAACTAAAAGTAAAAATAATATCATTTTATTAATATATATATATATATATATATATTATAATTATATATCAAATTATTATATTTAAAATTAAAATTAATTTTAATAATATAACTTAAATTTTAAAGTATATTTTTTAAAGAAATATGTTGTATTTTTTTTTTAACCATCCTAAAAATGACATGTTTACCTGACTAAATTTTTAAAAAATTATAAACTATTTTAAAATATAAATCACACCAAATCGTTAATATTCTTTTACGTAATTTGGGAATTAAACTGAACCACAGCACTATATCCATTTACAAGTACTAAGAAAAATCTTGAAAATAAATTTTTACCTCACGTTTAATTTACTATTTATTGTGTGGTTCAGTTATTTCATATAAAAGAAAATATAAAATTCGTTCAAATTAATGATTAAAGTATGGTAAACTTTTAGAGCTATATCAAGATTTGTTTATAATAAGGATACTTTTGGATAAATTTATTAAAGAATAAATACTTTTTAAAAAAATAAAATAAATGTTTTAAAATTAAAATTAATTTATACATTAAACTTTCTTGTATTAATAATACATTACTAACTTGTATAGTAATTTATTTAAATTTATAAATGGATTTTTTTTCTATAAAACATACAAATAAGTTTATGGAAACAAATGTTACTTCACATGTTGATGATCTAATATAATGCAAGTTTTGACTAAGTTAATTTTCCATCAATCAGCATTTATCTCCCTACGATATTTTTATAATAATAAATATAATAGATAAATGATAAATACTTGTTAAATATATATTTTCCCTATCTTTAAATATATCACCTTTAAGATTTAGTTCCACAACTAATAAAAATATTCACTTATAACTTATAATAATTTTTTTAATATTTTTCCAATAACGCTCTTCTTATTTTATTCTTCTTTCTTTACAAAAATTACTCAAAATAACTTATCTTCTCTCTTTATAATATAGTGTTATATCAGTTTCTTTTATTATCTTCTAAGAGAATATGAAACATTGTTTTCATTTTATTAGAAAAAAAATTTCTTTTACGATTTTTAATCACGAAAATTTTATCACCACAAATTTTGATTTGAATAACTATGAGATGATTTTTATTTCTCACAAAAAAATTTAATATTACTGATATTTTCACTCTACATATTTTTGCATCTTAATTTTTAAAAATCACTATTCTACAACACATGAATATCATAAACAAAGTTTGATCTTATCTTTACTGAATCATTTTTTTAATTAGATTCATTATATTTTTATAATAAATATTATTTTTTATAATTAAACAAATTTTTTAGATTAATGTGAAGTTAGATGAAAAGATAAAAAAAATAAGAAAATTATCCTTTATATTATTGGTTGATACATATAAAATTACATAATATATTAAAATTCTTTTAAAGTGTATGTTACACTTTATTGAATGAATCGTAAAAACAGTATTTTAAATTTTTTAAATTTATCAAAAAATAAGAATATATTTGATAAAAATAATTAATTCAATCTTAAAATATCACAAATAAATTGAAACCTTTTTTTTGTGAAATGGTTATATATTTAGAATGTGGAGGTAGTCCATTATTGATTAACATGTTCCTTTCAAAGAAAACTATGCTCCATCCAAACAAATTAGGACTATATTTTGCATTGAGAAAAATATTTGATTCCTTAATCATATATGGCAGTTGCAATCAGATGGTGGTGGCAATCGAGATAAAATAGAATTTGAATTGTTGGGTGGTAATAATAAAGAACCACCTTATTTACCGCAAACAAACATTTGATCCCACCACAGATTTTCAAAATTACAGGCTTCTTTTCTCTTCCATGTCTAAACCATCTTTTTCATAAAAGAAATGAAAGTGTCAGGTTCTTTTGTGAATAATACCCCAATCAGGGTGTTGAAGAACAGTACAACGAAAGGAGGGAGCTGCCCAACACAAGCAATGAGAATCATGGCAAGGATATGAACCGGCCCATGGGCCTCAAATGGAGCTCCAGTGGATTGGAATGACGCACCATTTGAGGACCACTACCGAGGATTTGACCTTGATGCTTGTCAAATCCATAACAAAATTGTGGTGGAATGTTAAGGAGTACAAGAGCCTAAACTTATTCAAAATTTTGAATCATGTACTAAAAAAGTTTCAGAGTCCTGAGTGTCAGGAATGATTGGTAAATAAGTTCGTCAAATAAACTTTACTCACGGGGAATCACAAGAGATATAAAATAATGGAATATAGGTTGAAACTCTTTAAAGCCTACCTTAGCACAGCTCCTTCTCCCTCTTCACCACACGCTCCTCTCACAAATAACTCTCTGAAAAGTCAAGTAAGATTATTGCTTCCTAGGAAACAATATATCATACAACAAATGTGAGGAGAATAGGCAGGATTCACATAGTTGGCAAGTAAGACGTAAACTAGTGTGCAGTATAAATAATGTAATCGAGTTGCCTAGAACCAATTTAGGTATACAAGACTAGAGCTTGCTGCTAAACATTTTCCATTTATGTCCAAACTGACCCTGAGAAGACCTTGATTAGGGACAAAATGGGGGAATAAAAATCTAAAAATCTAAGGTGGTCAAATTACAGATGGAAAGAATATGCTGGTATGGTACAATGAATGTTCTTATCTTTGTGCCTGATCGGGTGTGTGGTTGCTTGTTGTAGATGATGATGCTGTCCTACCGTTCACTACTCCATTATCTATGGGTGGACTGGTTCCCCAATTACCTTCTGATTCACTGGGCTCTACCACTTTCACGGACCCATCTGTCAGTCCAACGGCAAATTGATAGGGCTCTACTGGATGAGCCGCAACAACAACAGGATACACAGATTGCTTCCTGCAATAAGATCACGTCAGTAAAGAGTATACAGTAAAGAACATCGATCCCGAATTCAGTTTCAATCCAAGGATTTTGCAAATCATGAGATCACGAAATGAAAATACGACTTCACGGTACATCCTTGAATAAATTTCAATGTTTTATTTCAGTAAACAGTACACATTGGGTTCCATGTGTTGGGCACAAACTTACCCACTTAAAGCCGCAGGTGAGAAGTATGCGGATGGTGCAATACGACATCTCAGTCTCAAGCTGTCGGCATCAAAAACCCCAGTGTTGCCATCACAAAATGTAGCATAAATTAACTGACTATTGCAGGAATAAGCTGCATATGTTATGGGAGCAGCCAGAACATCTTGAGGAACCCACTGCAGCAATTTACAAGGATATCTCATTTTAAGTTTTGACATCAACAAGAAAAAATATCAATGCTAGATAGAAGATTCTTTTTACCTGCCGAATCCGATCCATCTTTGAGGCGTCATATATTGCCAATTGAGTCTCATGGGCTACCAGTAACCGGATTTGGTCTAAATGGAACTGCACGCGAGTATCACCAACAGGAGCCTTTCCTGCGGGCAGTTGTAAAGGAACTGATTTTCTTTTCTCCCATGTATCAATGCTCCATACACAAAGCTGTAGGGGAATTATTTCAAAAAATAAAAATGATATAGAACAGAAAATTAAGTATTGGCACCTTCCTTGTAAAAGAATTTAAATGAAGTTAACTGGGATTTAATTTCATATTAGTGCAGAAAATACAAAAAGGCTATCCTGTTTTCCTCTTCACTGGAAAGCAAATCAAAATTACAAAAAAACCAACTGAATCTAAAATGAAAGGAAAACAGTTAAAAGACATACTTGAGCGTCAGCACCAGATGAAACTAGGATGTTAAGACAGGTTGAAAAGGCAAAACCAGTGATTTGCTTTTGGTGACCCTTCAATTTGGATTTCACCTAGAAGATAACCCCCCCACACCCCCACCCCCACCCCCACCAAGAGAAGATGAGATAATTTTAAAATATTGGCAGAATGCTTAAAAAGAAGAAAGCAGTTAAATATAGTAATCACCTCATCCACTCGAACATTATAAATGTAAATTGTTGAATCCTCCATCCCCATGGCTATGATGTTGTTATCTTGAGGGTGGAAAACCAGAAAGGTAGAGGCAGGGGGTGGCGGCATAAATGTTGTCATTACCTATAAGGAAAAATAAAAAGCATATGAGGAGTAAACTTCGCAAGCTGAATGAAATATTGTGGTTATATTTCC